GGGAGGGAGTTCTTGGAGCGAGCGCGGAGATACGGAGCTAGACGCACCAGCAGCTCTACGTGAGCGTCTAGCAGACTGAGCCATTTAAGATAAAACAGTCTACGGAGAAGGGGGGGGTGGGGGGGGCTTATCTATATTCTTTACGCATGCGGCACACAACACTGCAGTGGATGCTGTGCTCACAAAGAAAAGTGATGAATTTAAGCTTTCATCCGCTCATTGAGGCAGTACTGGACAGAACCTTTTTCTGGAGCTTAAACAAATACAAAAGGAAGGTGGTTGAAGACATCTGCGAACATAAAATGAATGTTAACTTTAGATTCTCAAATAAAACCTACAAAAAAACAACATGGAATCAGAGAAGACAAAGGAAGGAAGCTGCATGGAAGCGTTTTGTGTCCATGTGCAAATGTGGTCGGGGTGACGCGGGGAAGTAAACAAAAAGCCAAATCCACTTACTGATGTGGATCTCCTGCTGGCTGGTGAAGTCTATGGCTAAGCCAAGCGGCAGAGTGTCTTCATTCGTCTCAGTCACTGGCAGCTCAGCCCTACTTGCGTCTTCCAGGATCCACAGCTCCCAGGTCTGAGAGGACAACGATCGGTGACGGGCATCACAACAGCGGAAAGCAATCAAAGTCAACATTAACGCTAAAAAAGGAAATGATCTGAATAAAAATCAGTTTTTATATTAATCAGAATTCTACACTAAATGCCAAAGATAACATTATTGAAGTAAAAAAAATAAACTCAGGATAACTACAAGCTGGCCGTAACTGTCCTGAAGCGTCAGCTAAATGACATGTAATGTAAAGTAAGCGATACAATCGATAACTCTCTTGTACACCTTTCATTTCTAGTCACTTTCAAAACTGTCACTTAAACCTGTGATTTCCATAACGCGGTCAGTTCGCTCATTGAGGTACCTTGTCCTCCGGTTTGGCGGCTATGACGCTGACTTCAATGGCCGCCGCTGATGCAGCAAACACCACGTCCCTGTATGAAATGGAATAGGTGAAGCAAAACATCACACCAATTCAACATGACAAACAAATCACCCTTAAGAGCGCAACGCCTTGGGGGGGGGCTCATATTCATTCCCATTCTTACCAGTCCTCCACGTGGCTGAGAAAGTAGTGGTGCTGTCGCTCGGTGCAGCTGCCGTACACCGTGTCACTAAAGTTCAGATACTTTGTCTCCACCTTCTCATCCTTCTTCTACAAAAAAAAATTAAAAATACAAATAAACCGCACATTTGCTTAATGTACTTTGACAAGCTGGAGCAACAGATGAAACGAACGTATGGTGGAAGCCTATCAGTGGGATAAGTCGTGACCTCAGTAGCTACATGAAACAAGAACAACAGCCGTTTACTGTGGGGCTCTTTGGTCATTTGCATGGAGCATTGTACTTGAATTACAATGCTCATGGAGGCTGCGCATGGGAACTACTGCGGGAGCCTAAATGGAACTACAGCGCTACTACACAAGAGTGTGGACAAACCACAAAGTGTGCGGACCTTCAAAGCCACAATATACCGTTTAATCTGGCAGAGCATCTAGTGCTACTTTTGTGTCTTCACCTTGATATTGTGCCCTTGTGGAGAAAATATCTTCAAACCAACACAAACAAAGCAAGGGAATTTCAAGAGAAATATATGGTCAAATTTGAATTCATTGCCCATCAATTGAAGACTGGAGGGCCAAAACGTGACAAGGATCCAAATGTGAGGAGGTGAATCCAGTGGACTGTGCATGTAGGGCCTACTCACAGGAAGGGAGATCAACACTAGCTCAGGAGGGGTCTCCAGGGACCCATCTGCAGCAGCATATGCCACTGCAAACACAAAGGTTCTCAGCCACAGCACGTCCAGAACTGTGAGAGAAACCAGGAAAGAGAGGCTGTGGATTTCAACTGCATTACATGTATTATACTGGTCATACTTGAGTCCATGTACATTTCATCATCAGGCACAGTTTGCAGGCGTACAACACAGACATTAATACATTTTTAGAGGATTTGCCTTACCTTTGACAGGTTGGTCGGAGGTATAGAAGTGTGGACACGGAATCGTTTTTTTTTCTTCCAGAGCCTTTTCAACAGAGGAGAGAACATGTCAGTCGTTACATGCTGCAGCTGTGATGGAGCCACATGCGGCTTATTTCCAATTAGGGTGACTTAGGTTCACTTACTGGTGTATACTGACTAAATGTGGAATTCATTTTTCCAGCGGCGACTTGTTTTCCCTTCGGACTCCAGCAAACTGTGTGAAAAAACTCAAATGTATCCGCAACAGATATGTGGAGGACAAGCGGAATCAAGTGTTACACGCAGTCTTTCACTCACTACACGTGATGCCATTTGAAGCCGGCAGCTCGGCGTGCACCCTGACAGTGTCAGTAACATCCAAAATCATCATGCGGCCGTCAGACAGGCAGGCCGCCAACATGGATGCATGCCCAGGATTCCACTTCAGGTCCTGCACCATGGTGCCGGGCGCAACTGCTGGCAACAGTGATGCAAAAGGTAGCTTCTGTGGTCGTGCCTAGAAAAAAACAAAAAAAACAATAGGACAAATCAATCTAATTCTTATTCAATTATTTCATGGACTGACCATCTGCAGTAAAGGTTCAAAAACTGTATTTTTAAAAATGTAGAATATCTATTTGGACACGATAGTGTACGATAGATACATTACTGCTGAATGTCAGGGTTATCTGAATATTAGCGAAGTCAGCTTATAGTATAAAATGTTCAAATGTTTATCAAAACAATCCTCTATTTCCCCGTAAACATTGTTCATTTCAGTAAGTATCTGTATCTGACATATCTACTGGAGAATTATTGGGATCCCTACATCCCTACTGCTGTGTTTTAACTAAACAAACTTATATACAAAATCCTTAAATAAGTGTGATACTGAGAGCAGTCACCTTGTTCACGAAGGTGCGGACATCATAGAACGTGATGGACAAAGTCGCCCCCTCAGACACGCCGCACGCCGACAGAGTGAGTTCATCACAACTGAGAGCCAAGTGGTGCAGAGTCACGTCCACGGTCACCTCGGCCAAAGCTGGCGTCCCCTCAACTAGGACAGGCGATCACGTGAAAGGGACGTGAATGGGAAATAAGATGGGGAGGTCCCTGTTAGTAACGACGAATAACACGCAGTGAAAACCACATTGGATGATCATTCAGATTTAAACCCTTAAGGTCACAACGCATACCGATTTCGTTGGCTTTGCCGTCAAATGCGTGAGCAGTCAGAATGTCTCGGGTTTGGTAAACTTTGAATGTTCTGTCGAGCCCGACAAAAGTTAAACCAAATTTGTTAGAAATGGTGAGAAGACTACTTCTTTCTCTCGGCAGATCTTCAGCAGGGTCAAAGACTCTGGTTTTCTTCATCTGACGAAACTGAAAGTCCTGAAATAGAAATACAAGGGGTGAAGACTTAAGTGTGGATGAAAAACGAAAATGATATCTACGGTAAACATGTTGTTTGTCAAACGTCACAGCCGGCCTTTTTTTTAAGCTTTTGAATGAAGTGAAGCTTTCCTTTTAAACAAATACCGCGGCGACGTTCAACTTGAACTCGGGTAGCGTTAAGTAAAAAAAAATGAATGTAATAATACATGTTGGTTGACAATGATCAGTCGCGTTAGCTAATGATGCTACGTCGATAACGTCATAGTAACGTTGAGTTACTGAACATGAAGTGTCTTAACTTCACACACACAGGATACAGTGAATGCATATAATGTCACGTTGACATCAATAACTCATATTGAGGATAACGTTACAAGATGTATCAACGGATGTGCCGGTAGCTAACACGTTAGCATAACTAGCTGGCTCCAAGATAAAAGTGCATTTTGCCTTAAGCAGTTAACGACGTAACATTAGGACACTGTTATTTGTGTCTACGTGATCAATGTGTCTCTTTGTCGCTTAATGCTTTGTGCTAATGTTATTTCAATGAAAAACCAGGACAGAACCGCAGTAAATCAACTGACTGCGCGCGAGCAAACATTAGCTCAAACATGCTAACTTGTCAACACAGCTCGTGGATAACCGCGTACCTTCATTTCCCTCTCAGGGGGGGAGTCCGTGTCGTCACTCATTTTGAGGGACAGAAGCCGTTGCCTCTCCTTAAGATGTGTTGTGTTAGTTTATTCTTTAGTTGCCTTGTTCGTGGGACAATTTCTCCGATCTACATTCGTGTGTCAGCGCAGATGAACACACGCGCCGCGCGATTTTGTCATCGGACAAGGCAACAGCTATGAAGGAAGACGAGTCGATACCAGAGTACCGTGAGCTCGAACTCGATTGAACATCCTTATATACCAAACGTGACGTTTTCTGAAATACCCTTCACAAATTCCCCCCCAAACACTATTACCAAGCCATTACCCCACCGCGAGGATTAGGTTAACGCCAATCTAATAATAAAAACTTTAAATCAGTCAAATCTAACAAATAGGATAGCACAGAAGCCTCGCAGCATATATGGGGAACAAATAAAAGCAGGGTATAGTTTGATAATGGGTGTTAGTAAATTAAGTAGACAAAATCATTAAATAGGCTAAATGAATACAACAATCCAACATTGTATAAGTAGGCAATCTTTATGCCTTCTGTGAAATAATGCAGAATTTTTTTTAAAAAGGTTCATGATTCCATGCTGCTAAATTTTATGCACAATTCCATCGCTTCCACTCACATGAAAATTCATAATCAACCTGGATGGAAATCTTAAGTATTGTGATTTACAAACTTTTGTCAAGTTCATGTAATTACCCCCCGTTGAAAATATCCTGCCATATCTCATCCAAATGTAACCGATTTTAATAATACATAGCAATAAAAGAAACATTGAAAGGATATCCTCTCATGTTATGAAGGGTATTTGGGAGTTAGCATTGCTCAAATGAAGGGACCACAGCTTTCTTGTAGCAATAACTCAATAGTGTACAAATATAATCCAAAGAAAGAAGAGGTCAGTATATGGTGAAGTAAGGGCTTTTATTAGAAAGCAGAGTTTTCTGTATTGCATTTAAAGAAATCATTTGCTCTTGGACTACACAACTGAAACTGGTGACAGTAAATACCATGATGGGAATGAAATGTTGATTCTTATGCAACATCAAAAGTGGCAACTTGCATTTCTGTTGTATATATTATTGATGCTCGAGTCAGAAGGCGCATAAACATTTTTTATCATTTTTCATTTGAAACATGAAGCAGTATCAACACGGAAATTGTCAAATCCCAGTTTGCCCGGTCCAAGGCCTGTTGATAGTGAAGAACGTTACCAAGATCAAAGTGTAGGGTTGCATGATAAGATATTTTGTCATATGGACTATTGTCCATTCAGAGGTTACCAAATCGCCCAGACTGAGGATCTGAAGTCTGGCACATGCTTACCAGAGCATTACAGATAGGGTCCATGTCAACATAGGACAGCTCTGTTCACAAAGCACCGAGACATCAGCCTAATATCAGTCGTTGTTGCAGAGACACGCACTTATAACCAAAGAGCCTGGAGTTTATAGTGCCCCTCCACTCTGGAAGTAAGCTAGCATAGACCAAAGCAAGCTGGGGAAAGACAAAGCAAATAGCAAGAGCACAGCAAGTCATGTCAGATCTTCCATAATGCACTTTGGGTCTCATCCCTATTCTGATTGTCAGCGCTCTGAACACATGGCTTTAAAAGTTGCGTTTTCTCGTCGTTCGCCAAACCCTCGGCCGCTCTTTTCTATCATTGTTTCGAAGTAGTTCTAAAGTGCTGGCATCATGTTAAAGGACACATACATACACGTATAAACTTTTAGTGCATTTTGTTCTGAGTCTGCTCAAGGTTCAAATGCACACTCAACTGGGTAGTTAGTCTCTGGATTCCACTTTCTCGGATTCACAATTTTTCTGTCATTATTATAATAGTTTCAACTTTAAACAGTCAATAAAAGGCCAGGGTGTGTGATAAAAATACAACCCTTACTCATTGCGCAAGACTCCACAGTCTTTGTTTGCTTACAGTGACAAAAGTTATTCAGCTTAAAATGCATGGTGCATAAAGATCAGAGGTTTCATTGGGTTCGAGTGAGTGCCTGAATGGCATGCATTTGTATGATATAACCGTCTCTTTGCATATAAATGTTTTGTTTTCAGGACAAACCACTCAATGGGACAAAATCTACTCTGCCCATCGGTTGTTACAGTAATGGGTAGGAACAGAGCACTTATTAATGTTTTTGAAAATAAGTAACTTATTTGCAAAGAAATGTCAGTAAAAATAGGTTCTTTTCAACCAACAACCCCATTCTATCTAATTTCTAATTCTTTTCAATGACCATCTAGGTGAACCAATCTAGGCATCATCTATGTCATGAAATTAAAAGATCAATTCACAAGACACTGGCTAAATGAAGGATATATGTAAAATACATAACATTACATACGTTTTACATGGCTTTTTGCCACCTCAAACCGTTTACCCTTCCCAATACGTAGCCATGACATTCTCTGAGAACAGCTCAGTTTATAGTGCAACATCATTCGATTTTCAATACACCTTGCACAACAGAAAATAGACCCTAAGCAGAACACAAACGTTTTTCCTAAAAAGGTTGGAATTTTTTGTTGGCCAGGATAGAGTCCGAGATATTTTACTGTACGGCAGACAAACAGGCGAGGGATCGCAATCTAAATACTTTTTCTGTGAATTGTATAAAGAAGGTGAGGCTGTCGGTCCAGCATGTCTGTACTTTACTCCTACATCCTCTATGTGTTGCTCGTCTCTGATCATAGAGGTTCACATCTCAACAACATCCACACGGTCACCGTCTTTTTAAGGCACTGCTCCACCCACTTTCCCCTGCGGAGGAGTATAGATTATTCACTGCTCAGGCTTAACTGGAGTTGAATTCCTATTCCCCTACGTAACAGCTAGGATCTATAACTTCCAAAATTACATACTTTTTTTGAAAACTGTGAGTGTAGGTGCCAAATCAGAAGTGAACTTCTGAACTTTTCTCATGAGACCAATTTTAGAAATAGGTTTTAAATTAAAAACATGATAAAGATATTATTTGTTAAATATTGAGGTTGGTACAGATTTGTGGAAAGCCATTTTAACATTAGAGAAATACTGTAAATAACTGTCAAAATACCTAAAAAGAAATTAGGAGCTCGTTGGGATGAAAATAGAATAAACCAGAAAGTAATTTGTTATATTAGGTAAATACTCCCTTCTCTTCAAAACTTTGGAAGACTAATTTAAAAATTCTAGAAAAGGGGAGTAATCTAAGAAACAAGTGTTTGACAATATTCAATCAAGGCTTGGCCCCCTCCCCAAAGCAGTGCTACAATTTACATTCATTCATCACACCAGTCGTTCCATCAAAGCCCCGTTTCATCTACTGTGGATCACATTTCCTCCAAAAGAAAGATAAGAAACATACATATTGTAAACGTTGCTATTCTCATTACCTAGTGCAATTATAACTCTTGTGTTTCTTGTTCAGGTCCATCTTAAAGCTTCTCCTAAAGAATCCAACACGAGACACGTAAACACAACCTTTGAGGTGGCACAGCGCTGAAGCATAAACAGATCAGATATCTGAGGGCTTGTGCTGTATTTTCTGCTCGGTTTTTAGCTTTCGTTATCGTAAGCTTACAGCGGGAAAGTATCTTTAATTTTAACCAGCAACTTTGGGGTTCACTAAATATGTCGGTCGGATTAAATGTGCCTTGACGCAGATAAAAAGAACAAAAAAAAAAAAGTACAACAGTGTATCTCTTAAAATCAATGAACAAAAGAAAGAACAAGTATTTTTGGACTATGTCCCTATATGCATGGCATAAAGCATTAACAGCAGAATAGATATCAAAAAAGAAAAGTATGACACATACAGGTTTTTGTCCCTGTTCGACATTAGGTTTAAGTTCCCCCTTCCGAAAAATAGAAAGTTATCTTCAGTCAGATCTCTTTTTCTCTTTACAAACCCACAATCTTCTCATCAGATAAACAATCAGGGTGATGTGGAGGACATTTTCAGTCTTTAGTACAGTCACATTTAGCCTAAACTCCTTAGTTTTCCGCCCTTTAATCTTGAGTGCAAATGAAATAAGCCAGCAGAGATTGCTCGTGTGAGTTTTATTCAATAACTTACCCCCCCCCCCCACCCTAAACCCCCCCACCCCAGGAAAAAACAAAAACAGGATGGAAGCAGGACTATGTCCATCACAGCACCACATCAAGGTGAAACAGTACTTTGTTCTTCTACCACTCAGTGTAGTGCGCTTCCTCCTACTACTACTCCGTATATTCAATTTCCTCGACGCGCGGTAGCAGCACGGCCCGCAGTTTAAAAAATAAAAAAATCCAAATTCACTCAAACACAGTGGACACCGCGTGGCACCCCGGTCAGTTCTAACAGGCGTCAGACTGAGCTCACATCCCAGTGAGAAATGGAAACAAGTCTTTAAATAGCATATCTGGAGAAAACAGTAGCTGTTTGCTTTTTTAGATGCAGGTTTGTGGCTTTGTTGTCGTTTACGATGATTATCTGCATCCATTGTTTGTGTTCATGCATGCAAGCTCGGCTTTTAGTTTTTAGTGCGCGTTCTTCTCCGCGTCTCTCTCTCTCTCTTCATCTCCAAAACAGAACGATGTGATCAAAAAGGATTTTCTTTCCGAGGAAAAAAAGCACCGTTTAACTTTTTCTTTTGAGACAGTGTATTTTTTACTGCTTCGATGCAAATATTAAAGGCTTAGTATCATAAGTTGAGAAATGTGCGCACATGTGTGAGTGTGTGATTGTGTGGTTGGGAGAGGAAGATTGGAGCAGACACAGGCATCACATTGACAATCTAATCCAATATGTCACAGGCAGATATGCATGAAAACCCAACTCCATGTGATTATTATACGTCTTTAGCTCTAAGAAAGGAAACCTTTCTTCGTCTTCATCTTTCAAAATGAGAAAATTGTTCTGTTTAACAACGGTAGAGCTGTGAATTACCGTCATATGTTTAGGTATATTTATCATACAACAAATGAGATAATCATTCAAGGTTGCTTGGGTTATTGTCAGATGTGGCAAAAAAAAAGAAAACAGAATATTTACTTAATAAACCATTGTACCACAACCCATAAACTGCAAACAAAGCATCCGTTGCTTTTGTGTAACAGCGAAATGATGAATCATTCCTGCCGTTTGTTTTGCTATCACGCCGTTGTGATATCGCTGCAGGTGCCGAAATACTGAGTAAATACTAAGTACACAAAGAAAAAGGGTGTAGCAAGAAGGGGTGATTATCTTAATGTGCTAATGCCATGCCTGTGTCTACTTCTACTATGAATGATCCACATCCACTATCGATAAGTATGCGTGGAGGCAAGCACACGGGTGCGCATGCATGTGACAGCTTCCTGTATAGTAAGATCTACGAGCGCTGCAGCTTTATGTGCGGAATAATTCCCGTTGAGGAAGCACAGAGGAGTAGAAAGGGTGGTGGGCGAGATGTTAAGAGTAGGAGAGCAAGCCAAAGAAAACGCGCTGTTAAAACAGGATTTCACAACGTGAGAGGCGGCCCGGGGGGACATTCACTGTCCGTTCACCCTCAGACCTTGTCCAAAGCTTTCCACCTCCTGCTCCGCAGGCGGGTCGCCACAACTGCCCGCCCCGACTCCCGGGATCAACGTCGGCGCCCCCAGTGATCCGTCCGCACCTTCCAACCCAGCATCCTCCTCGTCCTCCTCCTGGTCCCCCCGGACCGCCGCCTCGCCTTCCCCTTCGGCCTCTGCTCCGGCCGCCCCGGACCCGGGGCTGCTGTCGGCCAGCGGTGGGTGAGTCCTGAGAGGGTCTTTGCGCTCCGGGTACAACCTTTGGTCTAGGGCCTTGAAGTCGGGCTCGAAGGGGAGGTGCACGCCTTGTTGAGGGGCCGCCAGCGCCAGGCCCAGACCCACAGCGGCACCCATGCCCATCCCTGCACGGTACACCTCCATGCCGTCGGGCAGCATGGACTTGATCTTGGGCAACCACCGCTTGCGGACACGCCTCGCATTCGTGCACATGTCAGCAGCAATCACATTCATTTCACTCTCCTTGAAGTTGGGGTTAAAGTTTTGACAGTAGACTGTAAAAGAGAGAACAAAACTCCATGTTTACAACTTGAGCTCTATTTTCTCTCCTGATTTGATGATTTAGACAAATGGACCTACGTTTGACAGCGTTGAGGACCCTGCTGTCCAGGGGTTTCCTGCTGGGGTCACTCGTCGAGGAGCGGATGCCCGTCCCACAGCTATTGGCTAAAGTGTTTCTGCAGTGGGCACAGAGTCGACACCAGGGGGCAGAGTCAGCAGCAGGCACGTACAGTAGACAAACATGGGAACACACACACACACACAACTAACCGCATTGCACAACGTGGCCACAGATGGAGTGTGAAAGTTGGTTTGAGACAACAGCGGCAGTGTTGAGAGTCACACAAAAGAACTCAGATCTTGCAGTAAAACCCCTAACGGCTCGCACAAAGACGCTGTGCTTTCCTGTGCAGAACTTTGCACTCACCTGTCGAAGAACGTGGCTAGCAGGCGGCGAAGCAAGACTTTGTGTTTGATACCAGCACATAGATGACAATTCATCAGCTGCCCTCGAGTCATGAACACCTGTGTACCTGGTGTGGGAGAAAGAAAAGGATTTAGAGGAAACTGCTCTTGTTACAATCCATTCTCAGATTCTATGCCCTCTCCCTTTCTCTTTATGGCCCAATTGCCAATTGATCTTTTATTTTTCTGCTCCAATTGAAATTAATGTTCAAGGAGATCTTTGACGTAGTTAGACAAAGCTTCAGCTGTGAAAAGGAAAATCTGAAATCAGGTGGAGAATCTATTTTGAAACAGCACGCTATTAAATTACTCGGCTCTGCTTTCTTTTAAAAAACACCCCTTTCACATTCATCTATTGTATTCTGTATCTTTCAGGCAGACTATGGAACTGAACGATCTGTTATGCCCTGCTACGGTCCTGTTAAGTTCCTTTGTGTTTTTAAATTACATCTGAACATGAAACTTTTTGACCTCTGTTACCTGAACTTTTTTTTTATTTCTAACCTCGCCTCTATTCTTCTGTCTGAAAAGATTCAACACTGTATTCATTAAACCTCCTTTTTATGAATTACGTTATCTTCATGTTGAACTGTACCTGGTCTTTTTGAAAGTATAAAAAATATATTTTCCCTCATGCTCTCAGAGCCCTGTAAGGGCCACTTGGCAAACAGCCGGCAGGCTATAATACGCTTTTTACTCTGTCTAGTCACTCCACCATAAAGGTCCTGATTGATGAGTTCTGCAGAGATAGTTGTCCTTCTGTCACGGCCCTCAATCTCCGCAGAGAAGCTCTGCCGCTTTGCCCGGTCCCTTTCCGCATCGCCATAGCGACCAAACTATCATGGTCGGCAGTCAGAATTGAGGGTCAGACGCTACTGAAGGCGGTTTTCGTGATTAGTGATCTTGAGTAGATGTAATCATATTGATGTCTTGACAAACATGTTAATATGCACAAAGCTAGAGTCCAGTCACTGTAAACAGGGAACGGGCAGTAGAGATCTCTCATTAGGGTCAAATACAGGTCTTGTGCATGGAAGGGTAAAAGTCACTCGGATGTGGGGAACCTCCCACAGTTACAGTTTTTTTTGCTGCAAATAAGCGGCTCAACAAAAAGCCTGGATTTAACAGGTTTCCTCTTCACAAAGGAATACCGACAGTTCTGTATTTCACCCAACAACGTTCTAAACTCACTGCCTGCATACAAGCTCAATATCTGGTGAAATGTCAACGTGTGTGTGCGTGCACGAGTGGACGCGTGCGTTTGTGTGCGCGCGCCTACCGGCTACCAATTCCAGCTTCTCCCCGGGGTCGCCCTCGGTGTAGAGCTTAGGGTGGCAGCGGTAGCCTATCTGGCTGATGAGGCTCGCAGGCAGCGCCACCAGGTCCCTGCGGATCAGCACGCAGTTGCGGCTCTCCAAGGGCAAGGGCATCGCTGCCATCTCTGGCTTGTCCTGCACTGAGAATAGCAAGCGGGAACAGAAGGGGATATGAAAGCTTTTGTTACAAAGGAAAAATGCGCCAGCCATTAAATATGGAATGGTCCATGTGAATATTATCAGCTACAAAAAAAAGCATGCATGCCCTCCCGTGCCCTCTATCTAAAGAGAGGCTTCATAGGTGAATTAGTGAAGCAAGTTGGTGTAATCTCAGACGGGGTTGTTGTGTTTCATGAATGTTTCAGAGCTTTGCAGATGTCACAATGCTGCACCCACAACGTGACGTCTGGACGGGCGGGCGATCTGAAGGTGGGTGTTAGGTTCACTCGCAAAATGATTCCCCTTAACCTCTGAGAGGAGTTGCGAGAGTACCTCCTGTGCAGGCACAGGATAATTAAATCCTTTAATTGCCCCACACATACACCTATATCTCGCGTGTATTTTATGTTCTTGTAAAATGTAACTGTTTTATAACGTGTTGTGTAACATCGTGTAACTTGTGATCCATGCAGCTGACTGCCTGCACACACGTCCTCTTCTTCTTTGTGTTGGATAACAAGTGTATGTTCACATGTTGTTTGCCTTAAGGATAAAACGTACAGTAGCAGTCAAGCCTTTTACTGTATTTGTTTGTGTCTCTGTTACACAGATAATGCACTTCTTATACTGCATGGGATGAAAGAGGATGGTCTAGTGCAATGCCACCCCAACCACCCGCGATCCCTCTGTTTAGAGCTCTGTATGACCTGTAGTGCACACTTCTGCAAACTCTTTGTGACTCTGTACAACTGTGTCTCCGTCTTGCAAGATTGCCATATCATATTTTAAAGATTGACTATCTGTTCTTCATTTGAGTTGACATTTTTTACACTACAACACACATAGACACGCGCGCGCGCACACACACACAGACACACACACACACACACAAAGGAAAGACGTGCATGGTTCTCAAATATCTCACAATGTCACCCTGGGGTGCTCTGATTGCAGATGGAGTGGATTTCATAAATTTCTGAAACTCTAGAATTTTAAAAAGCTGCACGATGCTAATAATGATGGAGTGTGTTTGTATCACACACACGTTTATGTGTGAATGCAAACGAAGTGAACATACTGAAACATCTATAACTGTATGTGTAGGAAACCCTGCAAAGGCATGAGAACGAAATGCAGAACAGACCAGCTGTTGTAGCTATGATAAGGAGTATGTTGTTGGTCACGATGCACTCCAATCGTAACTCCATGAAGCTATCTTTATGCAGAGAGAACCCACACACACACAATGGAGGCACAACATCCTGCTTTTCAAGATGCGCAAGATGGATGATTTATGGAAGATTAAATCATGGAACTGGGAAGAAATGAATTCGCATCTGGGTTGTTTTCAGGACAATCTACTCGCCATGCATTTCACATTCATGGATACATATTTCTGCCAAGTCATGTTGAATTTTACTTTTATGTCGGTGTGATATAAAATTAGGTGCGACTGAGGAAGTAATTAATTTACTCAGATGGTACATGAATAGCTTTTGGAGATACGGGTGAGAGAATATTGATGCCAGTTTGAAATCAGAAAGGTCTTATTAGCATTTTCTCATTATCAATGTTACTGTATTATTATAGTATTACTTTAGAGTTTAGAAGTAAATAATATAACAGCTCTGCAACGCAACGATTTCCTCAAAGCATCGATTCCCCAGCATACTCACTGCCGTAGGGGTTCGCCGAGCGCCCATATGCAAGATGACTGTAGGAGTCCTCCGTGATCCCATCATAGGGCTCTTCCTCAAACTCCTCATCCTCATTCTGGTAGGATGTGGGACTGTCGGTGGTTGGCAGGCTGGACGCTCCGGGACTGGACCTTTCAACTCCAGCTCCCGCGCCCGCTCCCGTCCCGGCGCCGCCGGCCCCCTGCAGGTGGTAAGAGGGCAGCCCGGGGATGGCGGTGCCGCCGGCCGTCGTGTAGAACAGGGAACTGCCCCTGGCCAGCCGGTTCCCCAACTCCGAAGACGAAATCTTGCCCTGCGCCAAAGACGTGGTCAGGGGCGTCGGGTCGCCCGCCTCTAGTTTGATCTTACGCTGCGACATCAGTAGGGACGGAGACCAGCCGGGGGTCCCCAGGAGGGCGGCCACCGCCAGCCCGTTGCCGTTATTACAAGGACTCCGCGGCTCGGATCCTGTCTCCTCCAAAGACCCCGCTGAGTCACAGTGAGGCGAGTTCGCCTTGAACATTAGGTCCATGCCTCGTTCAACTATATGCTGAATTTGGAGGTAGCCGGCTGTGTACATGACCACCAGCTGTTCACTAGCTGCCATTGTTAGCTTCCCTGTATAACAGAAAGTGAGGATCTGCTCAAAGCAAGCAGGTGTGACTGAGGAGGGCAACTCAAACTGGCTCTTGGTGGAGCTGCTGAAGAGGTCGCGAAAGTAGAGGCTGCTGGCAGCCAGGACGGCCCGGTGGGCTTTGAAAGCCTGACCTGGTTGATAGAAATAACAGAGAACCCGGACGGAAAAATTGAAATTTGAAGTTTTAGTATTCTTTCAAAATACCCTAATAAAACAGATGTCACTAGTTACGAACCTTTGACCAGGATGGATACATCGCAGTAGTGTCCCAGCAGACGCTGCTCATTAAGGGAGCCCAGGACTGTGGCTCCAAAGTTTGGGATCTCCACATGGAGCAGCTGGGACATTTTGGCCACAGAGGAAGGAGGGGGTTTCAGATTTTCAATGCAAACTCCGCCACTGAGAGAGGCATCTGGAAGAGAGTGAAAAGACAAAGCGTGAAAGACTAAACGAGATGGCGAGAACTGGAAACGGAGAGAATCTTGAAATGAAAGAAAGAGCAAGAATGGAAATAGAGCTGAGATGAAGTGAGAAAATGAGCACAGCTGAGGGAGAAGTGAGAGGTGTGTGAAAGAGAGATATGCGGATATGCGGAAGACAGTGGGTGAGACAGCAGAGAGAAAGGGGGGAGTCAAGTCAGTCCACACAGAAAAAAGAAACAACACAATGCCGGGTGCTACTGTACATGAGGGCCTAGAAAAATACCTTAGGGCTGCGTCGCTTTAACTCAACTTCAAATTCCCCCAAAAAACCTGAAATCATTCGTTGTTTTGCACTCGGCCTGTAAATCAGCCTCCACGGCAACTTTTCCGAGGACGCAAACCCACACCGTATACGACCAGTTTGTCATGTCAGAGATTTTGCTGACTCTTTCTACCAATGTCAGCGTTTATCCGCTTTCTGAACTCTGGCTCGGAAACCAAACAACGCAACTTGCACCACACACACAATTTCCCCCTGACTTTGGGTTCATCCTTCTCTGATACTCCAGGCATGTTTGCACCATCTTTCCCTCCCTGAACCTTGTGTCATTGTTGTTTTTTTCTCTTTTCCCCAACGACACCCCCCCCCCCCACACACACACACACCCACGCACACACACACAGGCATATACGCACTGGTTTCATTATTAAGCAATGCTGCAGAACAGTTTCCAGGAATACAAACTGAAAAAAATATGTCACCGCCTCTCTCTCTCTCTCACACACACTCTCTCTCTCTCTCGCTCTCTCCCACCTCATGCACTTCATACAGACAAGCATGCACTCTGGCTTACTTATATAAAAGTGTTCACGCCTAAACACACACACACACACACACACACTACAGGCTGCAGAGGGAAATGACTGTGTACTCTGGCACTCACCTGAGGAAGCCAGCACACGGCACTCTCTCACACGTGCGCAGACGCAGAGCAAAGCGCTCACTGTGATCCCAGACAGCCCTGACCTGTGTAAGCCAATCTTCCGGTTAAAAACACACCGTGGAGCCTCGGCGCTCGATAGCGCGCCAGCAGCAGCAGCAGCAGCAGCAGCAGTCGGGACCGGGACAGAAGGGGTAAGGGGGGGGGGTCAGTTCGTAGAGATGGCAGGAGATTCCCTCCGGCGTACTCCGCCTGCTCGACTCTCTCTTTCCCCTCAAGAGTGTCACTCCCACCGTCTTGAAGATGATTCTCTCCTCCGCTTGTCTTCTCTCCCCACCACCACCACCACCACCACCACCCCCCCGCCGACCTATCCTCTATCTCTATGTCCTCCCAAGCCCCATTCTCTTTGCTCACTGTCTGCCTCAGCGCTGTCTGAAAGCCTCGCTCTGCTTCCCTGTCATTATCTCCCCCCTCTCTCTCCGTTGCGCTCCCCCCTCGCTCTATTCTCCAGGGGTTGAATTCAACAAGTGCCGCTGTAAAGGGAGGGAGAGAGAAAGAGAGAGAGAGAGAGAATGGGGAGAGAGAAGGAGAGCAGAGCGAATCAATGATGAAAGGAGTGGGAGGCTCACTGCGCGAGTGTGTGTGTGTGTGCGCGTGTGTGTCTGATCAATGCAGTATCTATACGTCGCAGGGAGTGGGAGGGAGAGAAAAACACAGGCTACAGTTACAGACAGAGACTGGGCCGAGCTGGAGAGGAGCAACGGAGGGAGGCGAGAGAGGGAGGGGAGAGTTGAGACAGAGAGAAAGTCATTCGAGGACAGTACGAGCAGAGAAAGACAATTAGGATGAAGCAACTTCCAGCCACTTGCCCCCTGGACACAAATGCCTATATGGTCAACAGGAAAAAAAAGGGGGGGGGGGGGGCGGAGACAAAAGAGAAACGAGAAAAGCTGACGGAGGTCATCGGCGCCGTTGATTAATCAAACATAGAATAAGGAAACTTCTGAAATCCCGGTTTGACGCAAATCCGGGGGGGAGGAAGGGGGGGGGGGAGAATACGTCACGACGTGTCGGTGAACCCAAGCTTCAACACGCGCAATCCTCCAATCCTCCTCCATGTTTGTAAAGACCACCAGCGGTAATCTCAAGGTATTTCCCATTGTCTTACCAATTTTGGAGGACAATCGTTAAAAAAAAGAAAAGAAAGAAAAGAGGTTCTACTTTTGGGCAAGTGTTGTGTGTTTTCTCTGAATCATGCGAGGGCCTCTCTGCCAAACACCTACACACAAGTGGAGAGAAGTTCTGGTTTCACGCAAGACTATTTAGTATTTATTTATTCTTTTTTTAAAAATTTTTTTAACATAAATCGGACATTTTAATGATTAATTCACGCCTCCACTTGGCTGACTCTGCTTGTTAAGGTGACACTTCTGTGTTTCGTGTTGACCGCGCACACGGAAGGCGTCCCTAAATGCTGCTCGGTGGCGATGAGGGAGGACAGGAGCCAGATGCCGCCGCCTTGACAGGGAAGGAACGATAAAAGACAAAACAGCTAACCGAGAGGATACGTTCCAGAAAGATATGTGTGGGAGGATAAGAATGCAAATCGCTGTGACAGATGAGTACTGCGTTTGTGTAATACTGTACACGCGTAGATGCTGTGCAGTTCTCGCACGTCAGAGCAAAAAACACAATGGAGGAAGCTCTCTGACCTCTGCACTGCATTGTGGTCGAGGAGACCGTGAAGAAAAGCAAAGTGATTTCAAAATCTCATTTCATCTTTTCACCTTTCAACAAAAGAAATAAAGAGCCAAAGCGTCCCCTGAAAGAAACGCTGAACACAAGGACATACTTGTCCTTTATTTTATTTATTTATTTTTTGCCGAAAGAAACCTCAAGTGGAGAAAGTTGTGTTAAACTGAGCAAACTTCCACTGCCTCGGTCACAGCGGAAATGTGGAAGGGAGGATTGTCACAAAGTGTCACACAAAGTGAGTCAGACGTCGCGTTAGAAGGCTTTGCCCCGGCAGTTTGACACCTGCACGGCACGCACAGCCACACCAGGAAAATGCACCGTCGAATGCAGGGAGACGCGATCCTGCAAAGCCACGGCGATGGAGGCGAGACGTGCACACGCTCCCGTCCTTCCCCCAAACACGCACAAGGTAATCTCCCCGCGCACACTCCTGTTTGTTTGTTTGTTTGTTTGTCCGTCCGTCCCTCTGCGTGTCCGTCGGCCCGTCCGTAAGTTCTCTCCCGTGACTACTGTGTCGCCTCTCTCCCTTCTCCCCTCTCTCCCTTCTCCCCTCTCTCTCCTTCCCGCCCTGCACACCACCTACCCACTGTCTCTCCGCCAATTAATGCACACAGGGCTGCATTGCAGTGAGGGTTGGCGCGTGCCACGGCAGCAAGCACAGTACAGAGTCTGCAGACATGCATGTACGTGCCAGCCGGGCTGGGAGAGAGGGCGGCGGGAAGAGGAGGAAGAGGAGGAAGAGGCGGGGGGAGGGGGAAGAGAAAGCGGGAGGGGGCGAGGAGGAGCAGAGCAGAGTGAACGGAGAATATGTTGAGTCAGGCAGACAGGACGGCGGTGTGGCACCGTGCACATACATACACACAGACACACAACCGCATGCGCCAATGAATGTGAAACCTACAGGCGTGTACGTGTACATTGTGAGGACGGGCGCACACACACACACACACACACGCACGCACGCACAAGCCTGATAAAAGCGCGCACACACACACACACACACACACACACACACAAACATTCATACGGAAAATGCAGCCTACTTCTGCCTGCATTAAATATAGACTTTGCACATCCGTGATGAAAACGTATAAAAGGTGTGTGTGTGTGTGTGTGTGTGTGTGCGCCTCCCTTCTGCCCGTGTCCTCATTTCCTTCTATGTTTGCATTGCCATGTCAAAGTTTCTTGCATACCTAGGCGTTTTTTTTGGCACTACAGATGCTGTCAGAGAGTATAAGTATAAAGTTTTTGACTTTAAATATGACATTTGAATGCTATTCCGCTTGCCATTGGTTGCTCTGTTGGAATGCGTTACATGCAGTTTGATCAAGGATTTTTACCTACGCAGTGTCATTAACTGTAGCAGCAGGTCCAGGCATATTTGAATAATATGAAGAAATGAAGCAATTTGCCAGATGGCACACACACATACGTGAACACAGACTTAGTTACTTATACTGTAGCTATACCAAATAGCACAAGGGCATTCTTCAAACTTAAGGCTATAAAAGTCATACACAATTCTGATGTATGGATTTACTACCTTATATAACAGTTCTAGTAAGTTTAATCTTGAGGTTAAGTTGGTGTCACATTTGCTTTTATTCAAAATGAATAAACCTATATTCTATAAAAACAAAATTAGAAGACATTTTTGAAGTGAGCTCCTTCCCCTCTTGCTCGTGTTGCCTCTATACGGTCTCAATATGAACAGTCCCCTCGTTATAAATATTCAGATCCTGCAGTTGTTCTCATGTCTAAAGTGTACCAGACAACAGATTCTATCCACGTTGAGACGGCAACGCTCCCTGGCAACAGTTCTACCAATCGGGACAGAGCGGGTGTCTGCCTGAGTCTGTCTGAGGTTCATTATGGGATGTCGACAGAGAGAGAGAGAGAGAGAGAGAGAGAGAGAGAGAGAGAGAGAGAGAGAGAGGGACAAGTAGAGGAAGAGAGCGAGCGAGGGAGAGAGAGGCTGCTTATCACTGCTTTTAATGCAACATCATTCTCTGTGTGCGGACCCTGATGGGTGACGTTGTCTGCTCATAGTTGGGATCAAAATCATCTTTTCTTTAAAAAAAAGAGAAAGAACTGCCAATGATTCATGCAGTTATGTAACAAACAGACAACTATTGAATGATTTGTTGTGGGCTGAATATTGTCTGGTATCTTTCCACTTCTATTCCCTTAATATTCACGAATAATGTAACTTGATCTGAGTAGGAGAAAAAAAAAGGGTTGAATTTGAGGTAAAACTAATAGCACAATACTGTCCGTGGCAATACAAAAAG